TAAGTAGTGTCTCTACTTTAAAGAGTCCTCTCCTGCTGATGTTCAGGTGTATATCAGTAAGTAGTGTCTCTACTTTAAAGAGTCCTCTCCTGCTGATGTTCAGGTGTATATCAGTATGTAGTGTCTCTACTTTAAAGAGTCCTCTCCTGCGATGTTCAGGTGTATATCAGTATGTAGTGTCTCTACTTTAAAGAGTCCTCTCCTGCTGATGTTCAGGTGTATATCAGTATGTAGTGTCTCTACTTTAAAGAGTCCTCTCCTGCTGATGTTCAGGTGTATATCAGTATGTAGTGTCTCTACTTTAAAGAGTCCTCTCCTGCTGATGTTCAGGTGTATATCAGTATGTAGTGTCTCTACTTTAAAGAGTCCTCTCCTGCTGATGTTCAGGTGTATATCAGTATGTAGTGTCTCTACTTTAAAGAGTCCTCTCCTGCTGATGTTCAGGTGTATATCAGTATGTAGTGTCTCTACTTTAAAGAGTCCTCTCCTGCTGATGTTCAGGTGTATATCAGTCTGTAGTGTCTCTACTTTAAAGAGTCCTCTCCTGCTGATGTTCAGGTGTATATCAGTATGTAGTGTCTCTACTTTAAAGAGTGCTCTCCTGCTGATGTTCAGGTGTATATCAGTATGTAGTGTCTCTACTTTAAAGAGTTCTAAAGGGAGGGAACACCACAGAAAGCAGCCCATAAAACTGTACAAACTAAAAAAAGCTGAAATCTGGACACTTTTTTCCAAATATGAGGTCATACGTTTCTTGTTTCTACTTGTTCTTGTTATTTTGATCCAAATAACTCTTAATGTCAGGACTGTCTGGCAGCAGGGAGAGCTCATTTATATTGTTCTCAGCTTTACACAAAAACCTGCCAAGTCTTCTTCTGAATGATATCTGGGGAGGGGGGGGGGGGGGGGGGATAAAGCATTGCATAGCATTCCATTTTGATGCTGACATGTGTACACTTGTGATTTGCAATTATATAGAAACATGGTGTAATGTAAAAAGTATTTTGATCAGTTTATCACTCGTCTTGCTGTGTGTGTGCAGGTGATGAACAGTGTGTGTGCGGGTGATGGACAGTGTGTGTGCTGGTGATGAACAGTGTGTGTGCAGGTGATGGACAGTGTGTGTGTGCAGGTGATGAACAGTGTGTGTGTGCAGGTGATGAACAGTGTGTGTGCAGGTGATGGACAGTGTGTGTGCAGGTGATGGACAGTGTGTGTGCAGGTGATGGACAGTGTGTGTGCTGGTGATGGACAGTGTGTGTGCAGGTGATGGACAGTGTGTGTGCAGGTGATGGACAGTGTGTGTGCAGGTGATGGACAGTGTGTGTGCAGGTGATGAACAGTGTGTGTGCAGGTGATGAACAGTGTGTGTGTGCAGGTGATGAACAGTGTGTGTGTGCAGGTGATGAACAGTGTGTGTGCAGGTGATGGACAGTGTGTGTGCTGGTGATGGACAGTGTGTGTGCTGGTGATGGACAGTGTGTGTGCTGGTGATGGACAGTGTGTGTGCAGGTGATGGACAGTGTGTGTGCAGGTGATGGACAGTGTGTGTGCAGGTGATGGACAGTGTGTGTGCAGGTGATGGACAGTGTGTGTGCAGGTGATGGACAGTGTGTGATGGACAGTGTGTGTGCAGGAGATGGACAGTGTGTGTGCAGGTGATGAACGGTGTGTGTGCAGGTGATGGACAGTGTGACCTACAGATCAAAGGCTTGAAGGATGAACCTGAGATTGTAGAGATGTGTTCAGGATCTAAAGGACAAGGTGTCGTCGCTCAGACTCTGCAGGTTTCAGATTTGATGGTATTTTCCGTTTAGTTTTCATCCGATGGAAACAAAAAGTATTGTCTTTGATCCACCTGGTGTCCAAAGAAACATCATTTGAGGACTCTTGGACTCCACTGAAATATGATAAAATAATAAAACATTTTTTTTTAAAGTTACAAAAGAAAGAAAGAAAGAAAGAAAGAAATGAAAGATAACATTAAAAAAGTAAACATGTGCCTCCACACACTATCCTTGTTATTGACTTATTATCAGCTTGAAGAACTGGAATAAAGCACACAGGAGCCAAAGACCTCCCCTCAACTTAAGAGATGACATTTTACATTTGGTTTTGACCTTTTCAGGGAAATACTGATTAAAAAAAGATAAAATAACAAAGTCCTGTGAATTCTTTCAGGCTAGGGAAGAACTGGATCAACTCAGAGGTGGACGGAGCCTACATTAGCATTATAGTCTGGACAATAGTTACAACATGTCCCGTCAGATTCGGACAGTTTAGGAGTGGTTTTGGAGGTTATTGGAGATGCTGAATCCATTTCTGACATATTCAGGATCAGACATGTCAGTTCTAACCAGAAAGTGGACCTACCTGTTCTCTCTGTGGACCAGTGGTGTAGTGGTCGTTGGACGCGGGGGATCTCCGTCCCCCCACTTAATTGGAGCCCCCACTTTTTGAAGCATGATTTTTTTTTTCAGTGTTATCAGTTGCAAGTGTGTATTTGTTGTAATTATGACGAAAACATAATACATTTCACAGTAATTATAATAAAAACGTAGCTCAAGTATTTATGCAACTTGATTTGAAGCGTGTGTGTGTGAGGGGCAGCACCGTGTCCCGCGTCCCACAAATTGAGACTATGTCCCGCATTTGAGTGACAGTCGCGCAGAAAGGCCGGCTCGGTTCGCTGACGGCCGGCACCGCCCTTTATTATTATATTTTTTAAATGGCACCATGTAAGTTGCGCTGACAGTTGACAGAGGTCCACAGAGGTCCGTCCACACAGAGGTCCACAGAGGTCCGTCCACACAGAGGTCCACAGAGGTCCGTCCACACAGAGGTCCACAGAGGTCCGTCCACACAGAGGTCCGTCCACACAGAGGTCCACAGAGGTCCGTCCACACAGAGGTCCGTCCACACAGAGGTCCACAGAGGTCCGTCCACACAGAGGTCCGTCCACACAGAGGTCCACAGAGGTCCGTCCACACAGAGGTCCGTCCACACAGAGGTCCACAGAGGTCCGTCCACACAGAGGTCCGTCCACACAGAGGTCCACAGAGGTCCGTCCACACAGAGGTCCGTCCACACAGAGGTCCGTCCACACAGAGGTCCGTCCACACAGAGGTCCGTCCACACAGAGGTCCGTCCACACAGAGGTCCACAGAGGTCCGTCCACACAGAGGTCCACAGAGGTCCGTCCACACAGGTCCGTCCACACATTTAGCTGTTATGCCACTCTGGAACAAACTGCCTGAATCGTGCACGTCCGCAGAAACGCTTACCATTTTTAAATCGAGACTAAAAACATATCTCTTTGCCGCTGCTTTTAATTGAGCTGCTCATATTCAAACTACAGTATGCCTTTTAAACATGTATTGTATACCTGTGGTGTTTATTTGTATTATTTGATTATCTTTGCTTTGTAATGCCTGTTGTAAATGCCATTATAAAATGTGTTGTTACTGTATTTATTCATAAAAAGGCTTTTCATTAGTTTTGTAAAGCACTTTGAATTGTCGCGTACAGAAAAGTGCTTTATAAATAAACTTGCCTTGCCTCTGAATCCAACAGGATCAACACAGTCATAACCAGGTGCTGGTGGAGAAGACTTACACTGAAGGAATGTGTTGAGGTAACTCCATTTCATCTCTCAGACGTTTTTATTAGTTCTTCCTGTTGGTTTTATCGCGTTGTCATTAAATGTTTCATGTTTTGATCATTATTTGTGTTGTTTTTAATCTTTGTACATGAACTCCTTCAGGCCGTGCCATAAAAAGATGGCAGAGGCTATACTAATATTAATATAATAATAATAATAATAATATAATAATAATAATAATAATATAATAATAATAATATAATAATAATAATAATAATAATAACTAGGACGCCGTTGGGTCCTAGCGCTACGTGCTTGGGCCCTAATAATAATAATAATAACACAATATTAATAATAATAACACATTATTAATAATGCTAATACAATGTGAATATTGTTATTAATAATAATAATAAAGTAATAATAATATTTTTAATTTGTATTCCTCTCATTATTATTATTATTATTATTAATAATAGTAATTGTATCATTGTTTTTATTAGCCTTACTTTTGTAATTATTATATCTTTTTTAAATGAATTACACATAAATAATGAATGAAGTATATATATATATATCTTTTAGAACTGTTATCATTATTATTAATTAAACAGTATTATTGTTAATAATATTATTTCTATGAAAGCAGATAGGAATGAATTAGCAAAACAAACACTTAAAAAACACATAAATAAATAAAATAAAACCTTAATGAATTAATAAGTAATAAAAAACAATTTAGAATAGTTTTTTTAACTAAGACAATCCAAAAGTGTCTGACTAGGAAGACAACAGAAAATGCAGAAATTATATTAAATTTTTAGGGGATGAAAGGACCAACCCTCCTGCTTGGATCAGTTAAAATACACACATGAGGATCACATGTGTGTATTTTAATTGTATTAAAACATGATTTGCGTTGCTCTGTACGTTAGAGAACAGATGTTGAATCACTGCGAGTTGACATCATGCCGTCACAACGCAGCGGGCCAGAGGATGCCCTCACTTTCTGACCGCAGAGATATTAAAAACACACAGAATTATAAAAAGTGAATAAAAAGTGAAAGGTGGCAGATGTTAGGTGGATGCAGTGCTTGTTTTGCACCCTGGGGCACTCGGGGTGGGTGGAGTTAGGAGTGATTTTAGTCGCGTGTCAATGTTTGCAAACGGACCTCCGCCCACCCCTGTGCATCAGGCTGGGAACAACATGATGACATCACAGTGAACCGGCCAATC